CACAAGCAGGGGGAGTGGGAGAGGGAGAAGCAGGCTTCCCGCAGAGCAGGGAGCCCGATGTGGGACTCGATCCCAGGACCCTGGGATCATGACCTGACCCGAAGGCAGACGCTTAATGACTGAGCCACCCAGGCGCCCTACTATTATCTTTTGAGAGGTGGGCAGACTTGAGTATTATTAGTCCCATTTTAGAGAGAAGAAAGCTGATATTTTTTTTTTGCACTTAAATGGGGTTTGGGTTATAAATTATAATCCTAATATTCAAATTCTTATGTGCTAATAATGATTTAAATTCATTCTTTCATTCATTCAAACTGTATATTGAAGTTCTACTATGTGCTAGTCATTGATATGGGAGCTAGAAATACAGCAATATGTAAGACAAAGTCACTGGCTTTTAGACATTCTAGTGGGAAGGCAATCAGTAAGATATTTATTTTTTTAAAAAGATTTTATTTATTTATTTGACAGAGAGAGACACAGCGAGAGAGGGAACACAAGCAGGGGGAGTGGGAGAGGGAGAAGCGGGCTCCCCGGTGAGCAGGGAGCCTGATGCAGGGCTTGATCCCAGGACCCTGGGATCATGACCAGAGCCGAAGGCAGACGCTTAACGACTGAGCCACCCAGTAAGATATTACCATCAGTAAGATATTTAAATAAATAGGATATTGAATAAGGTGTGGGGGATCGCCAGTTGGCTCAGTCAATGGAGCACAGGACTCTAGGTCTCGGGGTTGTGACTTCAAGCCCCATGTTGGGTGTGGAGCCTACTTTAAATAAAGTTTGGGATGCCTGGCTGGCTTAGTCAGTAGAGCATGTGACTCTTGATCTCAGGATTGTGAGTTCAAGCCCTGCATTGGGCGTGGAGACTTAGTAAAAAAAAAAAAAAAAAAAGAAGCTATTTAATATGATGGAAGGTGCTCCAAAGGAAATAATAATAATAAATGATAGAGAATTCTAGAGTTTGGGAGAGCAGGTAAAAGCTCTTTTGAGGTAGCATGCTCAGAGAAGCCTTCTCATCAGAAGGTAACATTGGAATTGAATCCAAAAGGATGAGAAGTACCCCAAGGGAAAATGTTCTAGGCAGATAGAACAGCAAGTGCAGAGAACCCAAGGCAAGAAGAAGCTTAACATGTTTAAGGAATAAGAAGATGATGGCCAGCGTGGCTGAGACATTGTGAACATCAAGAGAGAATTGTATGAGTAGATTAGAGATATAGTCAGAACCGTTGTCCAATAGAAATCTACAAGCTGCATATGTAATTTAAAATCTTCTTTAAAAAATAATAAATGAATAAATAAAATCTTCTAATAACCACATTTTAAAAAGTAAAAAAGAAACAAGTGAAATTAATTTAAGTTGTATATTTTATTTAACCCAGTGTAACCAAAATATTGTTTCAACATGTAACCAACATAAAAAACTATTAACACAATATTTTACATTCTATTTTTTATTCTTAGTCTTTGAAATCTCGTGTGTTTTCTATTTACACACACTTCAGTCTAGCCAAACTTCAAGTGCTCAATAGCCACATTTTGGATAGCACAGATCTAGACCTTGGTATGAAGGGGTTTTTTGTTTTGACTTTTGGCCAATGGGAAGCCCCTGAAGGGGTTTTAACAGGGGATCAAAATGATCTGATGTGTCCCTACTAGAATGTTAGTTCCATGAGAACAAGGTCTTTGTCTACTGTTGGATTCTCAGCACCTAGAACAGTACCTGGCACATAGTAGATGCTCAATAAACATGAGCTGAATGAGTGAATGAATATGGATGATGATTAAAGCCATAGAATTTACTCTTGCAGTATTGTCTTACAAATAACTGTCAGTCCCGGTCCAAGAACAACTTGCTTTCATTTGTTTGCCTTTCCAAGCAGATTATGATTAGAAGACATATTTTAGGTAGGCTGCTACCTTTTACAGTATTTTTTTATAGGGCCTCACAAAAATGACTGACTCGCACATCTCACAGGGTGGAAACAAGCTATAATAAGAATTTTTACAACCCAAGGTATAAGTAGTTCGTGTTGTCATTTAAAAAAAGAAAAAGCACTAGCTAAAACATTCCCTGTATATTCACTCTATTTAATAGTGACCACATAGGGGAAAAAAAATCTGTGGAAGAATTAGGTACTTATAATCAGACGGATAATCTTGAAGACAGTAAAAACTTTTGCAACTTTCTCTAGAAGCTATGGATTTGCTTTATTTCTGAATTCCTTCAAAACACCAGGACTAAAATTAGAGCAGCCAGCTTGTGTTTGGTTTACAAGGGCTCATGCTGTCTTTCTACTCCTCCATCTGTTGAAACAGTTTTTAGGTGCTGGCATTGAACTAGAACATAGAAGAACCTAACCTGCTGCAGTCCTGGGCATAGCAAAAACCTTTTTACCCACAGCACATCAGTTGTGGGTGCTTTACAGAACATATCACGACCCTAGGGCATGGCATTTAGAAGCTAGCTTAAGGAAAATGCACAGAGTAATACTAGCGAAGAAATGGAGAATGTGTTAGTATTGTTTCACTTAACTGAAAGACCATTTTCCCATTTGGCAGGAGCACTGTCAAATTTAACATTACTGGAGTAACTCCTATCCCAAAGGTCCTAGCAATGGAGGTTGTTAGGAGGAAATGAGGTCTTCATACGGTCTATCTATTTACCTTAGCACATAAAAATGCTTATATGGCCAGTTATTAGGTGGTATCTAATTATATTTACTTTCTGTCTCAGTGGGAACATTGTAGGTTATCATGTGATCGTTCCATGTTGTTCCTGCCTTCTTTCCTGCAACAATGGACACTTCTGGATGTTTCACAGCCAGGCAGTTTATGATATTAACAGACTAGACTCTACCGGTAAGAAACAACTGACTCAGAAATTTCCCTGACATTTATTTATCAATACCTGAGTGAAACTCTCAGTAGATCGTTTTAGGATTCCCTCTGAAACTCTCTTACCTGGGTTGAAAGAGTGAAACTTGAGTCCTTTTATCCCAAACATTCAGTTAGGGAAACTACTAGCTAAAATTCATCACCATTTCTGCTGTTGTCATTATGTACAAGAGCCTCAAAGGTGGCTCTTCTCGTCTTTTTAAATTAATATTTTAGTTGCTCTAAATTGTTGCCTTGATACCTATTATAACTCCAGGGAATTTTGGAAGATTTTAGATTTGATGGTCAATTATGCATGTGTGTGTGTGTGTGTGTGTGTGTGTGTGTGTGTAGGAAAGCAGGGAGGGGAGGCTGGGGCAGTGGGGAGCTGGGAGGGAGGATGGCTAGGTAACCTTTGTACTTGGTGATGTTGCTCCAGGATAAAAACAGACATTTTGACATCTATATTAATAAATTATGATGGAATTTTATTCGAGGGAAATATTTAATACCAGTACGTTGTACTAACTATTTAACATACAACCAATTCTTTAAAGGATATTTACACGATACATTTTATATTGTCTGGAGCCACGCAGTTTTGTTGTAAGACACAGGTCTTCTCTGTCTAGTATCTATTTACACAAGAGACCAGGTTGACTTTTAGGGGATTTTTTTAGTGGGAACAATTTAAAGAACTCAACAATCCAGGTTGGCACCAATACTCTCAGGTTTTTAGATGTATGTTTTAATCTTCTTCAGAACTTAAAATATATTCCTTTTCTTAAGGCTGATTTGCCTTCACAGACTAAAGATCATGAATTGTAAGCTAGGTTCTCAGGGTCCTCAAACCTGCCAATTATGCTTAGGTTTTTATAGACTCTGATTATAAAATCACCTGGCGTTCAACTGTAGCTCTCAACCCATCATTTGCAGGTCTTAATTTCAGACTCCAGGATGTTAAGAAGGCCATTTTTGAGGAAGGACTTATCTGAGCTCCCCTGAGATATGGGCTTCTAGCTTGGGCCTCCAGTTTTATATTTGTGTTGATCATGGGACACATTAAAGGAAGTTTCTGCTTTGATACTATTTTTCCTGCTTCACAGAATTCAAAACACAGGGTGGAGATTTTTCCATTTTGATTTACTTTTTAATATTTGTCAATTTTTCAAAGATAAAAGCCCCGCATTCTTCCATTCACATTGAATCTAATCCATGAGAAACAGATGTATCACAGGATTTCCTTCCTCCCTTCTTAACAGAGAAAGGAAGGTGCTCCTTCTGTCAGATCCAATCTCTTAGTTTATTTTTTCTCCTTTGAACCAATTGTGCCGAGCTACTCATGTCTCTGAGTATTCACTCCAAGAATATCAAACTTCTCCTTTGTAACCCTAATACTGTGATTTAAAGTAAGACCTTCCAGAGGCTTGGTATAAAACAGGGTTTCTCATGGTGTTGGGACTGTCCTTGAATCACCTGAATCAGCAGCATCAAAGGAATGCATGCATACACAAGCTTTATGAAATTCTAGAATGTTTAGACTGAAAGGGCCCCATGTCTGTGTTCTAGGCTAGGCTTCACACGTCGACCTGATTTCCCGAAACTTTCCTGTGGATGCTTGAGAAACCTCAGTTCAGATTCCCTGGGATTGGCAAATGCCCTCAAAGGCAAATTGACTTAAGCCCTCATTTACCTTTATGGGTTCTAACTATCCCTTAGGTTTTGGCCTAGTAATTCCTTATTATCCTGTTAGTTCATCAATGCCATATTACCAGAAGCAGAATGCTGTTCATTCTTGGAGGGGAAATATTTTTTATTATAAACAGTGTAAACACACACACAAAAATTACAGAAAATAATAGGAGAGACATCTGTATCCACCCCCCCCCCAGCATGAAATAGATGCTAACTTCTTGCCTGATTAGATTCTAGTATCTCAACCAAGAGAGTTGATTATTTCCACTGTTTCAACAGTGCAACAGTGCCCCTCCTTGTACGTGTTTCCTTGAGTTCCTGAGCAAAATGGGCAGTTAGGAAGCAATGAGAGATGCGCTCTATCTGCTATATATGTATATATTTGCTGTATACATATTTAATTCACACAACAGAATACAGAAATAAAAAGAAATGAGCTAAAGCTATACATATGGATATAGGTAAATCTCAAAAAAATTATGTTGGATGAAAAAAAGCAAATTCGAAAAGCTACATATAATGCCACACTACAAAAAATTTAAATACACCCAAAAAATAATATATATTGTCTGCAGTTGCACACATTTGTAGTAAAGGTAGTCCATCCATGGTGTACTGGTAGTGGGAGGGATTACCAGACTAGATTCAAACCACATCTCCAAACCCTGGCTCATTCCACTATCTCAGTGTGTGTGGAGGGAGCATCCAGAGTTTACTGGGTCCTCCTTGTGCCCACACTGACAGCTGCAGAGTGTGAGATTTGCTTTCCTTGTTGGACTCCACTGGCTCTCCTAGAAGTCAATTAATACTGGTGTTTTTCCCAGTTTAGTATTTTCAAGTTATAGGATATAGTACGCGCCCAGAATAAACCATCTCATGACCCTCTATCACGTGTGTGGTGTTTTACTATATATACTACACTAGAGTCTTCAGTATGAGATCTGTCCTTTCATTAGGAAGCTTTAGACTGTTGTTTTGTTTATTGTCTTGGCAGCTACAACCTGGTCCTAAAGGTCTACCTTCATAGCCCCCAAACTAAAACCCACCTGCGGTTCATATTATAACTGGCTTCAAAACCTTGCTTTTTTTAATCACACACACACACAGAAAAAGCCACCAGCTACTTCCATGCTTGTTGAGGAGATGAGGAGACTTATTTCAAGCCTTTCCCCTGTACCCTCCAAAGAGACACTTAATCTAAAATAATCTTGCAAGATCTCCATCCTTAAAAATCATTAAAATAGATTTGAAAATTATCAGTGTAGAGTGATTATGGCGTAACATACCTGGGGGCAGGGTTTAAGGAAATGGACCATTGAGATCCTTTGGAGTTCGAAGATTCTAGAATTCAAGCACTTGCTTAAAAGGGCCTAAAAAATGTTTATGCCCTACATGAATGATATTAGATCATTTTTATCTATGGTACATTCTTTAATATCTTTTCTCTTTATTGTTAACACTATGGTTTCATATAAGAATGTTAACATACAATGTTTCATATAGCATATTCTGAGTTGTAATAGTAATCAGCACTAAGTAATTTTATGGTTTTTCTTTTCAGGTGTAAACTTCCTACTTTGGGGCAACTTGCCAGAGATAGAGGAGAATACAGATGAAGACACATTAGATATCTCAGCAGAGGAGTGTATTCGATGAATGGGAGGGATAATGATATGTATAATATTCAGACTCTTTCCTATGTAAAATACATATTAATGGATTGACTTTAAAAGTATTAGGAAGGATTTACTACTGATTTCTCTTTTTTGGAGGGGAGGAATGGGACATTTGTTGATTTATTTATTTGCTGTCTCAGACTCATTACCTGAATTTAATTTGAGCCATTGTAGTTCTTTTCTTCTACTGATTCCTCTTCCTCTCTCCACCCCTCCACCCAGTAAAGGTGCATTCTTAAATTCAGGTTGGAGAAGATTATTTCATGTGTCACTCAACTACCTCAAAATCTTGGGGAAGTTTTCTTACAGTGAGATACCAGATACTCTTAATTTTATACTCTTGAATAAAGGGCATTTGTACATATACATGTGTGTATGTCAACCAAGCATATATCCATGCGTATTACCATGCATACATATGACAAGCTCAACTGGAAATTAAAGTTTAAGAGGAATTTTTTTTAAAAAAACCAAGCTGTTAGGTTTCCATAGATACTGGTTATCCTGCCTTATACTGACGAAAACTCCTTAAAATGGAACAAGACTTTGTGAATCAGCAAATAGAGTAAGATAAAACTTTAAAATCTATGGAGAAAATCTCTTAATTCCTCAGCACGATGTTAGGTAAATGAATTTGTCACAAGATTATCAATATATACTGTTTAGGAACATTATTTATTTACATTCTTCTAAAGTCATATGGTTATTGTGTTATGAAAGCAGATCAACTAAACCTCCATCTTTAAGTTATTCTCTTCTCTAGGACTTTCTCTGTAAATAGCAAATTTTAAATGTGTAGTCTCAGTTCCAACCCTTAAATAGAAAAAAACTAAAGAAGTGTTTTGCTTAAGCCATTATACATTATAAAGAGAATTTTGTTTTTGTTTTAAGCTGCATTCAGAGCCACCCAGAAATAGGAAACTGGGATGGTGTTGGATTGTGATTTTAGGTACAGCTAAAGTCAGTGTATCGCCTTAGTAATACCTCAGCTGTAGGCATTTTGTCAATAGCGATACCAAAACAGACTGAGTTGCGGTTCTGTAAATAAAGTTTTGTTGTAAAAATGACCAGCCTTCCTTTAATTTTTTATTGTACCCACTTTTCTTACCCAAAAATGGAAAAGTATAACACACAAGAGCTAACACTTATTGAGTGGTCACCATGTACCAGACACTGTTCTAAACTCTACAGATTTGGGGCGCCTGGGTGGCTCAGTCGTTAAGCGTCTGCCTTCGGCTCAGGTCACGATCCCAGGGTCCTGGGATCGAGCCCCGCATCAGGCTCCCTGCTC